GCTAATAGTAGCTGTTTGCACACCGACATTGCCCCCGTAATGTGTATGCCATGGGTAGAGATACCCGTCTCAGCAATCTTTAAGCTAGGTCAGACGTTTTCCGAAGGAGCCGACAATGCAGCTTTCACCATGACTTACGTCGTGTAGAAGGAGAATCTGGATTATGGCGAGAACAGCATCTTGCTCGTCCTCATGCAAGAAATTAGGTCCCTGACTTTTCCTGATTTCCTCACTGAGAGCGCGTATGGCTCTCAGCCGATACTCGACTGCAGCCTCTTCATATAGAGACATATTTCCGGTAAGTTTGCCAAGATGAGAGGCCGAAAGCCCCAGTATGGCATATAACAAGCCAATTTGTTTCCTCGCCAACGGGAGTATATAAGCTCGGTAAGGATTACTGCTAGTACCACCTATCTCAGCAATTTGATGCGGGCATATGAAGCTCTCATCTGTGCCACTCTGGCGTCAGTGTTCTGCCCTCCAAAACCCAGCCAATAAGAGCTTACAATGCGATAACAACATCTCCGTCTGTGTGAGATTCAGTATCTTTGGAATGTCGTCTGGCACTTCTGTTGCGCTTCTGCTAGGCTTCTTGGAAGACGGTCGCGTTGCGACACCCTCTGTCCGTCCAGGCGTAACCGAGCCCGGTGTTGCGGTAGTGGAGACTTGCTGCGACTCAGCAATGCTGGATTCAGCCTTGCTGTTCCTTGGAGTCGGCACTCGTGCGCCTTTCCACCTTCCCCGACTAGCGATTCCGCAAAACCGGTACTGGTCTGGGTACCCGCCGCATTCTAAGCCTTTTGAAATGCAACGTTGGCACTTGGGTCTACCGCGGTCACACTTGCGGCACTTTTCCCGGCATGTCTTGCATGCAGGGCCTGCAGCGGTACCTGACATCAGAAGTTGTTGGCTATGGTTGCACAGCATAAAATGAATAGATGGTGACAAACCAGCTCGTGGCATTCCGTTAGCGGCGGAGGCACTTCAGACGGTGAGACTCCTGACACTCATTGAACAAGACGAGGTGTTAAGGAAAAAGTAACTTGAAAAGGAGGCAGTGAAACGATTATATCGCCAATCATGTTCGATTGAAAGAGTTCGCTAAGACAAACATAGAACGAGCAATCGAGGTGCTGGCCTTGCTGTATATTTACCACCTCGACCCAACTTCAGTCGAAGGTGACTTGTTCAGGATCGATAATACTACCACTATCTTCGGCCGAAATCGATAACCGCCAATGGGTTTCAACAATTGTCTTCAAGTAGCTATTCAATGGCTTGTAAGCCAACATCAGCCTCATGTGGTTGCAGCTGCTCCGTAAGCACTTCGAAAACACATATCGAGCTAAGCAGCATTCGGTAAGGCGTCAGGCCATGGTAGAGCTTCTTTTTATCCTTTTGCACGTGAATGTGGGGTGTTTGCATCATTTGTCTGATTATTGCTTGCCAGCCTTGCTATATCTTCGGTCCGTTTGTCGCTCCGGTCTTTATTGACGCAGCGAGCTGATGCCTACATCAGTACTTCGCCACTACTATATATCCCTGTCTACCTTTTAAGACAAACATAATTTTCCATTCATACCTTGACTTTCACAGCTGAGAAAATGACTGAACGCACAAACACGCTCAACTCTGACAATGTATTAGCCCTCGCTGCGAGGGCTCTTCGGAGAGATAATGAGGGTCAGCTTAGCCTCAAAACAACCTACGAGGCTATTGCGCTCATCGGTCATGCTTGTATGAAGGCAGTTGACTTCAGGCTTCTCGGACTGGGAGAGGAGCACACCATAGGTCTGCGAGAGAGATTTATTTATGACATGTCAACTTTCACTGTCGTGTCTTTGGACGTATATAGCTAACATCCTCATTCGTAAGCAGAAAGCTCGACTGAAGACCAGACCTTACCCGCAGAGTGGAATGCTAACGATACATATTCTTTCCGCTATGCCCATACTCAATCCTCCATGCAGTTCTTGCTGAAGATCAGTCGATTGGGGAATAATGCCGTTGTCCTTGCCTTGGCCCTAGGCGATGACAAAACCTCTTCATTTGATCTGCCAGTTAAGGACTATATTTCCGGGTCCGCCCTTCCGATTACTTCCACAGACGACTTGCTGAAGACCCTAAGGGATGTGTTCATTTCCGAAGCGCGGCTGAATGACCTGATTGGGCTGTTTAAAATGAACGTGATTCTGAAGCTAGCTCCTGGCTTGTACAAGGAAGGATACGAAGACACCACTCAAACCATACGAGAAAGGCAACAAGAGAGGCCACCTCAATATGATCCCTTAAGAGACGATACACTACCTCAGCCTGCACGCCCTTATCCATATGATGATCCCCTGGCAGCAGGTCCTCGTCGATCTGCGCCCCCAGTCGATTTTGCTCCTCCAGGATTTGAAGATGAATATGAGATCTATCGGCCTCCTCGAGGATATCCCCAGGGAAATGGTGGTCGTAATCCCTTGAGTATTGGCGATAGAGATTTGTATCCTGCCGGTCTCGGTCCGAATGATCCTATTCGAGGAGGCGTTGGCCCTGGTCTCGGAGGGGGAGGCAACGGTAGCGGAATGCACCCAACGTTTGACGACCCCTTGTTCGGTGGTCGCCGAGAGGGTGGTTATGATCCACAAGCCCCCCCTGGAGCTCGATATGATCCCGTAGGTCCGGGAGGCGCGCCATCCGGACGACGGCTTGGTCCGTTTGGAGGAGGCTCTGGAGGAGGATTTGGAGGATTTGGCGGTGACATCATTTAGGCGCGCGGCTAAGCAGTAAGCCATTTGTAGCTGACAAGACCACACAAGGCGGTCTAGGGTAGTACTCCTTGCTAGATTTACGACAGAATGCATAATGAATCTAATCTATAATTAAAGCAACTACAATTCGCGAGTAATCCAAAATTAACTCTCTTGAGTATCAATGTAATCGCCCTTATTGGCGTCAAGGAAGCCAAAGTTGGTCGGGATTCGAGTTTCTTGGAGATCGTGGAGAGGGGGTGTGGCTTGGACGAGCTAAAGTGTGGCGCATGCCCAACACCTCCTGGCGTCGTCCAGCACAGCACTGCACAGCACAGCAATCCCTCCCCTACACCAACACCACCAGGTCGCTTTTCTCCCAACTTTCGACTCTCATCCATCCCACTGCATCCGATATTTCCCCCTCGCCGTTGAAGCTTATATTGTTATTATTCAATTTTATCACCTTTGTTTTGTGGATTCTTGCATCATCACAACCGAGAAAATCCCTGGTCAGCCTCACGAGACCGTCCCCTCCCAATCTCCCGCCCCTCCTCCACATTTGCACTTGTCTTGAGCTTGTTGTCGTCCAACGCAATGGATAATAACATGGAAATTGATCCGGCGCGGTCACCGGAGCCTCATCACCTTTCGCCCACAACCGACCCTGGGTCCATACCTACGCTCGATGGGTGGATTGAAAACCTGATGGCTTGCAAGCAATTAGCGGAGGATGATGTTCGGAGACTTTGTGATCGAGTGCGTCTTTCTTGATACGTGTTGTCTCCGACATCACTGTGATAATGAAATCTAATTGACGTCTGCGCGTCCCAGGCTAGAGAAGTGTTGCAGGAAGAGTCGAATGTGCAGCCAGTCGTATGTACTTCCCTCGGCCTGTTCTTGCCGTGTCGTTCATGCGGATCGCTCGAGTTGTTGACTTGAATCTCTCAGAAATGCCCGGTGACTGTCTGCGGTGATATACATGGTCAATTCCACGACCTAATGGAACTATTCCGCATTGGAGGTCCTAATCCTGACACAAACTACCTCTTCATGGGTATGTGATATTTCACCCTTGATCCGTCCTTTTCGTCTCCTTGCTCTGTGACTTATATCAGACTTGCGTCTCCAGGTGACTATGTCGACCGTGGCTACTACTCTGTAGAGACCGTCACGCTTCTTGTCTGCCTTAAAATCCGTTACCCCCAACGAATCACCATCCTCCGAGGAAACCACGAGTCCCGCCAGATCACACAAGTGTATGGGTTTTATGACGAGTGCTTGCGCAAATACGGCAATGCCAATGTCTGGAAATACTTTACCGATCTTTTCGACTACCTTCCTCTCACCGCTCTCATCGAGAACCAGATCTTCTGCCTGCACGGCGGTCTGAGTCCCTCCATCGATACTCTGGACAACATTCGTTCTCTGGACCGGATCCAGGAAGTTCCTCATGAGGGACCCATGTGTGATCTGCTCTGGAGTGATCCCGACGACCGATGCGGCTGGGGTATCTCTCCCCGTGGTGCTGGTTACACCTTTGGGCAAGATATCTCGGAAGCATTCAATCACAACAATGGCTTGACTCTTGTTGCACGAGCACATCAATTGGTTATGGAGGGATACAATTGGTCGCAGGATAGAAATGTGGTCACCATTTTTTCGGGTACGGCCCCTTTTTCCCGCTCTTGTCCAAGCCTACCACTAACGTGCCGTTCTCAGCCCCCAATTATTGTTACCGCTGTGGTAACCAAGCTGCGATCATGGAAATTGATGAGCATCTGAAATACACATTGTATGTTCCATTGAAAGGCGAAAGACTGATCTTGATGGTTTATCCGTACTAACCTATTGTCTCAAAGTTTACAATTTGATCCTTGCCCACGCGCGGGAGAACCAATGGTCTCGAGACGTACACCTGATTATTTCCTGTGACGTGATTCCAATAGACAGGCTTTTCTCATCACTACTGACAAGTTGAGCTTCTTATGACCCTTCGAGAGGGCTTCTGGGATGCTGGGAGCATACGGAAGGATCCACTTGTCACAATAATTGTATGACCTTATTTCAGGCCGTGTTGATACCAATTATGAAAATAAAAGACGTTCGCAAGAATACTATCATTATTCCCTCTAGTCTCTGACCATCAATTCTGCCGCGGTCGTGGCGCTCTTGCCATCAGTGCTGGTAATCAGTATCTCGGAGAACTTCGTCTGCCATGCTTTACATAGCACCTGGAGATTTTAAAAGCAAACCTGGAGCATGTTAGCTGATCCGAATGGAAACAACCAAATGATACTCACCCCCATCCAAGTTGACGATTTGTCCGTTAATATACGTCCCAGCCTTGCTGCAGAGATAAAGAACGACACTGCCAATATCGTATTCCCGTCCAACGCGGCCTACGCCAAATTATCAGCTCACTCGAGTCCGCAGGGCGCAAACACTGACGCCAATAAAGCAAGGCTCACCAGCCGGAAACTTCTTCCCCACCTCTTCCTCCTGCCTAGACCTCCGATCCTCATCAAACCTGCCCAAACTGATCTCATTCGGGAAAACTCCCGGCGCAATACAATTCACACGGACTCCTAATGGCATAAAGGTATGCGCCCACTCCCTCGTCAGATGTATCAGCGCCGCCTTGCTCGACGAGTAGGCAAACTGGCCCTGCGAATGGGTCTTCGTCAAACCCGCCACACTCGCCACATTGAGCACAACGCTCGAATGGCCCGGTGCCGCTTTCGCTCCCTTCACAAGGAGTGGCAGCAGCGCGGCAGTGAGGAAATGGTGCGACCAGACGTTGCCGGCGTACGCGATGCGCCATGCGTCCGCTCCGTCGCGGGTCATCCATCTGGAGACGGCGTCCGGGTCTGTGAAGTCGATGTCGGAGGATGTGGCTTTCGCGCGGGGCTCACTGGTGACGCCTGCGCTGTTGATGAGGATGTTGATGCCTTTTGATTCGGCTTTGGTGAGCTCGGCTGCGATGCCGCGGATTCCGTCTGTCGTGGAAGTATCTCCCCGGAGTCTGGAGTCAGTATACCCTCGTCAGCAACAAGCGTCCGGCCCGGGAAGGTCGCGGATGGGACGGGACGCACGGTGTGATCTGCCCGTTGAACGAATATTTCTCCCCGATCGTGTCCAGGATTTCCTCCCTGGTACCGATGATGTAGACTCGAGCGCCGTTTGCTGCTAGTGTCTGCGCGGCCATGAGGCCGATGCCGTTGCTTGCTCCTGTAACGACGGCCACGTAGCCCTTGACCTCGAAGAGGGTGGCTGCTTCGAGGTCATGGGCATTGATGTCTTTGAAGTTGTATCGGGGTGCTGGATCCATCTTGCTAGGGATTTTCGGCACTGCAGATGGCTAGATACCAGTTACTGGGTACATTGAGTAGAAGGGGGATGGATGACACCTTTGTAGGAATGATCGCATATTGACATCTTTTTGAAGTCATCGCATCGACGTACTGCACCTCGCTGCAGCCTTCAAACAACGCAGCTGGCCGCTGCTGAGAGTGTCATCGTAATAGATTTTGGTTTCATTGTAGCACTTGTCAGGTGTCGCAAGCTTGTACCTTATTGACGAGGAGCATGTGGGGGTGGTAATTGGTGATGAGCGGATGTGTAACTGCGTTAATTAATAGAAAGAAGTAGAAGGGGCGAATGCATAGCATTTTCATCTCATTAAAAAAAGCGTTTTTGTAAAAGACTACGAGTCAAGAAAGACTACCGCATTAGGTACAGGCAGAGCGCTAACGAACGATTTGATATAGACTTAAACTCGCAGTCCTTCCACTTTCTTTGCTAGAATCTCTTCAACCTCTTTGGCATGTTTGGAGAAATTGTCCACAAGATCATCCCACATCTTCGGCTCGTGCTCGTGCCTCTTGTCGCTGTTCCAGGCATAGTCTGTAATTGTGAATGGCCGACTGGACTCAAACATGAAGGCAATCGATGCCTCTGAAATCTGCATCACAGGTGGCGGATTCTCTGTGGCATCTTTGAATTGCTCGTACGCAACACCATGAGGGACCACTGACCATACAGTTAGCACCCTATGCAAACAACAGGAATATCGCGACGGCTACTCACTTGAACACTCAAAAGAAATGCTTCCGGGATTGAAGGCGTCCGAGCGGCCACCATATTCACCATAGATCAGGCCCATCAGTTCGGAGGCAGCATTGCGGTGATAGTAAGGTGGCCGGTAAGTGTCTATATTGTTAGCATGCCGACGGCATGTCTTTGCGTTTGTGGATAACAGCAACTCACGAGACGCTACGTCCCATCGGGGAGAGAAGATCAGCAGATCGGCCAAAGGCGCCGTCAGGTCGCGGGATTTGGCTGTGAGTACACAGAAAATGGATGGATCGATGTGATCGACGGAGATTGAGCCGACATTGACGAATTTTGTCAAGTCATACTTGTATGGAACCTATTGATGTAGGGTCAGCTTCGCCTTCTATACTGAAAACCACGAGGAATAAAACATACATAGTTACCATGCCAGGCAACAACATCAAAAGGACTGTGATTCTGCGTGCTCTTGAAGAATTTCCCTCCAAGTTTGTAAATGATCTCCCAGGGCTCCTGAGAAATCTCATACTTTGCATGGGGAGCAAGGAAATCTCGAGCGTTAGCCAAACCATTTGCTCCGAGCGGTCCTAGTTCGGGCAGCTCAAAGGAAGATCCCCAAATTTCGAGTATATACCCACGGGAAGGGCCGTCAGGAAGCTCAACGCGGAAGCGAATACCACGCTGGATGATCACGATTTCTCCGGGCTGAACAAACAATGGACCAAATTCAGTCTGAATGTCCAGGGCGCCCTGCTGAGGAATGATGAGAAATTCACCATCAGAATTCACAAAGGCTTTCTTCTTCATGCTGGTATTGGCCGTATAGACATGAGTAGCGAGGCCCTCGCGAAGGGCTGGGTCTCCTGATCCTGCTATGGTCTTTAGACCGGAGACAAAGTCTACCTCCTCCCCAGTCGGGATCTCAAATGGATGCCATGCTAGCTGAGTTGGAGAGACGCGCACTCGAGGGTTTATCGGCAGGAAAGTCGACTCTGTGTCTTTGTTGTCAGGAAGGTCGGTCTATAGCTTTATCAGCACGAGTCCATCGCTCAAAGTGCCGTCAACGTACAAATCCCTGGTGAGCAACCGCCGGACGAGCACGGTACAACCATGCCTTCTTGTTGCAATGTCGTGGGGCAATAAAAGCAGTCGCGGTGATCTGCTCAGCATACAGGCCGAATCTCACGTTACGAGGACTGTTCTGGCCCTGTGGAATGGTACCAGGGACAGCTTCGGAGACAAATCTATAGAGATGTCTAAATCAGCAAGTTGGTTGGATGGCAACATGTAGCTGCGTACTATACATACGAGTTGCCGAAGCCGGCTTGATACTGTAGGAGTCAGTTATCACGAAGAAACGAACGAATGTAATAACAACGTACCTGGTAAGGATCATTCCGTCTTGTGTTGAAAGAAGGAATGGTACCGTCCTTTTGAGTCTCTGCCCAGTGGAATATCTTCTGATACTCATGGGGATCAGATAAGGCGCTTGTAGAGGCCATTCTTGCGGTTGGTAGGGAATAATTAAGTAGTGAGTCCAGAGAAGCTCAATCTTCGATTGCTCCAATAGTGATCAATATCGAAGGGAACCACGAAGCCTCAAATACTCTGTCCATTTGGACGTGTCCACGAATGGCTGAACATAAACCTTATAATTTGTCGGACACGTCCTCATCCGAGTTTCCGAGCACGAAGGGATACACGATATATCCTTTGGCTTCTGATGGTGACGACCTCAGCCCGATTGAGAACAGACCTGACCCAAAGTCCATACAAATCGGCATGTTGGAGTGGCCTTGCGTTGCCGAAGCCAATAGAGTGGAGCTCGGGGAGGGGAACCGTGGGCGGAGCGATGTCCGCCATCTTTCCTGCTTTGATCGCATGGTTTGCCAAACCCCACCTGAGTAAGTTGTGAGTAATGCGGAGAGATGATCCTTTCGTGATGAACAGTTGTTCATGGTCGGGATTGAGTCTGTATGAGAATTGCCGAGGAGGGAGGATTCCCAGGGGGAAAAGAAGGTCAGCCGACAGCGCTCGGTCACTGACAGCCTGTCTGCACACAAGGATGGCCTACACCAGGATGGCTATGCTCAGTTGGATTTACCTCAACTTTAGTGTTTACTTCGTCTATCTACTATCCGACCTTCTTATGGTGCATGGCCATTGCAGATCAAGAACTTTCATCAATTTAGGCTGTGTGCCTTGAGGACCCATATCAATTCAGCAGGCTGATCCTGCCTGCTGTCAACGCAAAAACTATTGGGAGGTAAGTTCCGATGCCAGCCTCTCGAAGAACCTTGAGGTGCTCTACTCTTCGCCGAGACGCGAATTGCTCCTCGGTAATCTCCTTACACTCCCCCAGGGGCCCATAGGCGAATCGTCGGTCTTCAGACCACGGAGATATGCCATTGACGAACCGTATCCAACGCTTCCGCATCTCTTGGCCTACTTCATTTGCAGCGGGGTTGAAGGAGAAATCGAGTCCTCCGAAAAGAAACAGGAGGTCGACTGCGTGGTGAGACCGACTGGAAGACTGCCATGGATTTGGTTGGTCAACCACATATCGGAAAACGCGTTTGTTCGCAGCTTTGAGCTTTTCCGCGACGAGCTCAACAGGGAGGGTGTATCGGGTATCATTGACGAAATCTAGAGCGCCCAGTTTGCAGGCAGTAGGACGGTCATGGACGACCTGGTACATCTTGCGCAGTTTTGTACCATAGTTCTTGTCGGTTTCGAAAGCCGCAGCAATCGATGCTCCGTCGAAGGTCTCGATTCCGTTTCTCCAAATGACAGACTATCGAAGTCAGACTAGGCGAGAGGCAGTGTAAATGGGAGAAGGATGGAGAACATACCTCATATTCAGTATCGCCAATCATGAGTTCCTCGACTTGTTCTGGCTTGTTCTCCCAATCCTGGAATTCGGGATCCTCCTGTATCCACATTGTATTCACATTGCACTCCTTCAACGCGCGCGTTAGACAGTCAACAGACGAATGACGCAGCGAGTCCTGTCCCATCTCCTGCACCTTGCTCTCGAGTGTGTTGATGAGCGCATTCCCTCTTTCGACCGGCAACGGCGAAGAGAGGTATAGCGACCCGGATGCCAGGATAGCTCTTTGGACAGGAGGGCCGGTAATGAGATGCGCATGAACATAAACCGCTCCTGCGCTCTCTCCAGCAAGTGTGATATTCTTCTGAAGTGAGAAAAGACGTTAGCATCAGGCGTCCTTAAGCAACGTTGGATCACCTACCGGATCACCCCCAAATTCTGCGATGTTTTTCCGAACCCAGTCAATGGCCAACCTTTGGTCCTTTATCGCGAGGTTCTTCTCCTTTCCATCGCCAAAACTGAAGATATTGAGACGGTAGTTGAAAGAGACGAAAACAAACGGCTGACCCTCCTTGACAGACTCAGCAACGATCCGAGTCGGGTCTATGCGTATTCAGGCATCAGTCGTTGAAGAAATAAGGAGCAATTCAGATATCTTACCGCAGATTTTCGATTGGGCAGAACAGAATGTAACAACTTGAGAACCGCCTAAGGCACTGCCGTTAGCACAATCAATGCCTTGGCTTGGAATGCTTGCAAATCTGCCATCGTACCATATATCCAGACGAGAACAGGAAGAGGGCCATTAATGCTAGAGAGAGGAGGACCGGTGATGTCCAGATTTAGACATTCAAACTCATCCTCAGCTTCGGGCTCTATCTCAAAATCCTCCGGGATGCGCAACAAATGACGCACGTCCACCTGAACCTGCGGACATTTTGGTCTTTTTTCAACATCAGGTTCAGTATATCGAATTGTATGTCCATAGGTAACGAATATGGCTTCAATGAGCTTAAAAACAAGACATACCCGTATTTCGTAGTATCAACAACGCCCCCGTTGAAGGTTTCCACAGGCTGAGCACGCTGGAACCGCGCCGGTATTTGGGCATACTTGATTCCGCGGAATTGGTCAACTATGACACCGTCGAAATCCCTTCGAACACCTGTAAAGAATGCCTGAAGTCCTTGATGTTGTACTTGTGGAGCTGCCATATTCACAATCACAGAGTCAATCTGGGAGTCAAGGAGGAGGAGGGAAGCGTGGAAGCACAATATGGAGCAGGTAAGGTTCTCGAGGTGTCTGCACTACCCATGGCCCTATTTCTTCTTTGATTTCTCTCCATCCAGTCGGTTGTTATGCTTTCCGAAGCTTGTCCCCCCCCATGCTGACGAGCATGCTTGCTGTGGGGCTGCTGCGGGGATATCCACCTGGATGTTGAAACGTTGTAGCTCGGATGATGAAGACGGAATATCGGCAGTTAGAAACCACGAAATTTGCTTCTCAAGGTATGATAGTAGAAAGAGATTTGCCTTGAAGTCCGAAGCGCAGGTGGAAGCTGTTGGTTGCTGGGGTGAATTGGTGAAAGGTTCTTAGTTTCTAATGGCTGCATACTACTCATCTTCTGATACTAAGTAGCCACCAACGAATCTTTTCTTTATGATGTGAGATTTTCTAATTTTGGGAATTATATTATATAAACAACTTTGAGCCTGCTCGAGTATGTCGTCTGTTCGACACACAATCCCAGTATGCGTTTCGCGTTCTCTACAGCCTATGCAGCTGCTTCGACAGGCCGACTGTCAGCATGCCGGTCTGTAGGTTTCCATATACGGCCACCCAGAAAAAGCAAGATAGGAATAGCAGACACGCCCATCAGCAGACCTATGACCCAAGACATGGTGCCCCAGCCAGCGTTTTGTCGGATGAACCCAGCGAGAAATGGACCGACCATGGACCCAGCTGCAAAAGCAGAATTAAGGATACCGTAAGCAAGAGCCATTGCGCCTCCTTTGCCGAAAACGCCGGGTGACTCCGCTTCTTTCTCCTGAACAACATATGAGGCCTCGACAAAGAGCGGTGGAATTAGGAAGGCCAGGCAGAGCCCAATCAGAGCCAGCAGCACGCAAAGCACCACTTTTTGGTTCATAGAATTCGTTGTGACAAGACGGAGAAGCACGAACAATGGGACTGTGGTGAGCAATGCTCCACCAACTACAAAGCGCCGAGCTTGAGGGAACTTGTCGTTGATGTACCCGAAGAACGGATCCAGAATATGAGGCACCGACACTGGAATGAAGATCAGTCCTTGGGCAGTCTGTTTCCACCCAAATGTATCCTGAACGAAAAGAGGGAGGACGCTATCGAGAGATGTCAACGCAACCGCCACAATAAAATAAGCCCATAGCGTGACAAGCATTCGGTCTGAGGCCAACAGGGTGGCAACAGCGCCGAAACGTCTCTTGCGAGGCATTTGTTGGTTTGGATCCCCAGTTGCACCGCCTTGCGGTGTCGCGTTCGATGCTGTGTCATGCTCGCTGCGACTGTTACTGTCGCACTCATTAGTCGGGCAAGGAAGAGACGCACGCCCATCTGTAGGTTGCTTTTCGGTTGGATTGTCCACCGGTCCTGTGGAAAACCTTTCAGTTTGAAGCCACTTCAGGGCATCTTTCTTCTCTATCAAGACGAGCCGCAGGAATATGTCTAAGCCAATGATACCGAATGCGAGACCGAAAACAGCATAGTAGCCTCCGTTCTCATATAAAACACCCCCAAGGAGGGGGCCTGTCATTGTCCCGAGTGTGATGCCCATTGCCGCATATCCCATCGCTTCGCCCAGAGCCTCTTTTTCTATCGTGTCGACTAGCAGGGCGAGTCCGACTGTCCAAACAATAGCCGCAGACACCCCTTGAAATAAACGGCCAGCAATCCAGAGGCCGAGGGTAGTGCCTACACAGAGCAACGCCGTAGAAGCACCCAAGGCGACCAGCCCTATCAGGAGAGGCCATCGCCTAGACTCTATTCGATCTGCCAAGTAGCCGGAAATAGCTGTATTGAACGAGGACGGTGAGTAAGGTTGTCGGTGTAGTCCGGTGGCGAAGGATGGTCAAACTCACGGGAAGCTGCCAACAGTGCGGCACCGTACAGGGCCAATAAGATCGATGTCCATGATTGTTCTGATGGTGAAAGGTTAAGGCCAGAATCACAGGAAGCAAATATCCACACATCTCAAGGGGGGGCATACCATCATCCTCAGATAAGCCGACTCTCTCATGCAATGCAGTAGGGGTTACAGGAACGATCTATATCACGTTAAGCTCTTGCTCATAAAGCATTACACGATAGCAAACGATAGCTTAAGGCAGGGGGTCAACTTACAAGCCCATATAGCAGGATATCCTGACATAACTGGTATTAGCGTGTTTCTTCCGAAGACACCATCCCTTGTTGCCAACTTACAGTGAATGTTGCGAAAGAGACCACAAATATGACGAAGACTTTGGAAGACCTTAGCTCGAGGAGAATCGGTCGTTTAGGTTCCTCCTCATTTTTTGACTGCAGGCCACCAAGGACCATAGCGAAGATGGGTATCAGTCTGAGCTACACCGCTGAGATGTCATGTGGGTACTCGAGCAACAGGGGTCACGAAATGAAATTGATGGGCACGGAATCCTAGAGCTACCGAACTATCTATGGAGATATACGTCAGTGGCACATAACGAAAAATTCAGAAGAGATAAATATTTTGGAGAGGATTCGAGGATCAAAAATCTAGGCCGCTGATTCAATTCCCACTGGCTCGGGCTCCGCGGGCCCCGAGATTGGATGGAATCCGCATTGAATTATTCAGGTTGGCGGATCTGTCGACCACGAAACACAATATTGGGCTATCTGCCAGTATCTACATATAATTGACTCGAAATACAAACAATGTGCCTACGTCAAAAACAAAATAAAAACCGGCGGTGGAATAAAATCTATCCCTTGAGACGACTATATACATCACACTGTACTGTCATGACCCTGGGCTAGAGGGTTCTGAATAAAGCAAGTACCTTTGCAAACTCATCTAGCGACACTTGGTCAGCGTGGTCGAAGAGAAGACTTCTTCGCAAACTTCCCTCATTGTACGGCCCGTTCACTTGCCCGACATTGGGTGCAGGACCGTAGACTCGTGCCGTGAAGCCAGCTTCTACATCATTCGGGGCAACGGCAGGCCATGGCTTCACGCCATGGCAGAATTTGAAGAAGTCCTCGGCGAAGGTGATTGCAAGTTGCTGCTGGGCTGGCCCCATAAACTCTCGGAAGTTCTGGAACAGGTAGGCTAAGTCAAGGATATGGCTTGCTCGATCTTTCCAAGGTCCGTCCCATGGGTTCCCTTCGTTGAAGTGATAGACGTATACATCGTTTTTCCAGCCCTTTGCAAACGTCAGAACCGGAGCAAAGAAAGCAATGTCATTCATGTAGTTGAGAATAGCCGGGAAGGCCTCGTCGTCTGTCATGTCCTTTGTGATGTTGTACTTGTCCAAGGTTTGTTGCGCAACATCCGATTTGGATGCAAGTATGGTGTTCAGTGCGGTAACAAACTTGCTTGCACAGTCTTTCTTCGTATGCGACATCAAAAACGCCATGATACTAGCCTGAAAGGAGGGAGAGTCGCGGTCAGTAGAATATTTGAAAGCGGTTAATGACGACGTACATCCATCTGAGCGTCGCCAATAATTAGATCTTCGCACCACTTCTTTCCGCGGGGAAAGTTAGAAGCTTTGTCAGCTACCTGCGCATAGGAAATGGCGGAGGACACAATGTCCCCATCAATTGCAGGAACTGCTAGAACGGCTGGAGGGATTCTGGCAACCAAGTCCTCACCCGGTGTTTCCAAAAGAGTCCTGATTCGTTCCTCTGAACTGGAATTGGCCAGTCCTAATGTCGCAATGGCTTGCTGGTAGTTCTGCTCATGTAAATCGTAAGGCAAGGGCTGGATGAGTAAACAGGTACCACTCATCACAATAGCCCTCTTAAAGAGTTGCTCGTCAGAGTCGAGGTGATACGTTACACACGCTAGCAAATTTCAGTATGCCTGTAACGTGACGGAAAACAGTGATGAGGAAGACATACCTCCTCCAGCGCTCATCCCGGCGAGTGTCACATTATCAGGATCTCCACCGAAATCGGCAATGTGTTTTTGCACCCATCTCATGGCCACTTTCTGATCTCTGAGCCCGTTGTTGGCGTTGTACCCAGCCCGTCGAAGTTCATCGGAAGTAAGGAAGCCGAATGCGCCGAGACGATAACTGTTTAAAAGTAAGTCCTTGCCCATGTCGCGTCAGGGTGGTGGTCTTACTTCATAGAAACCGCCACTATGGGTAAGTTCTTTTCAACAGATAACTTGACGAACCGTGCATAATCGAATTGTGGCCAGGAGTTAGCTCCAAGCACCAGCCCTCCGCCGTGAATGAAGAGAAAGACTGGAAGTTTGGAGATCTCTGTTGTGCCCGCCGGGACGGTGATATTCAGGTTGAGACAGTTCAAGTCCGATTGAGGAAGCTCTTTCTTTGGAAGGATATGTTGGATGTGGCCAAGCTCAAAGTCACAACCGAACGAAGGAGACAAAGCAGTTGGACTAGGATTCCTTGCATTAGTTCACTGACTTGTGGTATATTTCCCGACCACTCTTACCCATCCTTGCTCGCGTCGAGGATACTACCTTCACGCTGCTCTATGAGTTCCGCGTCTGCGAATCTGTCTTTGAGAGTAGCGTATTGAATGCCCAGAAATTGACTCACACCGTCGTGACTCTTGCCTCGAACTTCACCCAAGAATCTTGTCTGAAGAGTGGTGGCCATTGTAGTGAATCTCCTTGAGTGCAAGTCGCGAAGACAGCTGATTAATGCGGGGAAATGCAGAAAAGAGGTCAACATCCAGAGCCTTGTCCATGGCTCTTGGACAGTCTCTCTGTAGGGCAATTGAAGAACTCAATTAGCCCCCCAATTACTAGCTGTCCATACTTCGGTAATAAACTCACCCAGTAATATGCCGGATTTAACTCCATGAACTCTGACTGTCAAGTTGTCAACAAAGCTGAGGGGTAATTCCGAATCATAGGGTGTCTTCAACGACTTCGTTCCTCATTTCGTGAGTGAGTCGTCTGGACTCCATGCGCGGTAGAGATGAGAATGGGTTCACTAAATCGCTCCGCTGAAGCGAAGAGTTGTGCGAGACATACTCCAAAGGCATCCTTCAAGCCGGGCCAAAGTCGAGTTGTTGACGCTGTGAAATTGAGCACCCAGCGGCCGGAGCCACTATCGGATATCCTCCATCATGGCCCCGCAATTCCCCCACATGAAATGCCGGGGGTGCCATAGAACGAAGAGATAAAGTTTCAGTATCGCTGAGGGATCGATTGGATGATGTGCAAAGTACTGAGCCAATTCCATTCAATACTAGGCGCACAGGCAGAGAACCAAAATTGTTGTAGTGCAGAGGATGTGGTGACGTCTATTACTCTGGTAACCAGCTGAGGTAACGATGTCTTATCCTACGAAGACAGTGTACATACGAGGACGAAGGGAATATGGGTTCTTCCCAGTCGCGCCTCCACATTACATAGCGATTCTACATCCGCAAGAGGCAATAAGGAACGCGTTTTCAGGAATTGGGAAGCTTGGCCTCTTAATTATAATCATGATTGAAAATTCATGCTGTAGCCACCAGTCTTAGGATCTTGGACGAATTTGAAATTATCCGTTGACAATCCGAATGGTTTGAGAATGCCATTTCCGAGCTGCGTGAAGAGTTAGCAGTGCTTCAACAGCGTCAGTATGGAAGATTTGTCGCCTCACATCTTTCAGTTTACTCATCATCTCCGCCGTCTCCTTCTCCCGGGCCTGATTTATCCTCCCGGGCAACTCGCGAAGAGCCCTCTGCACAACTCGCTTATCGTCTGCAGGTAGGTTATCCATCCCGGCAAGCACTTTATAGTCCTCTTCGGCGCCTTGTAAATTTCCCCAGCCGCCGAGCTGGCTCTTCGCTCGCGCACGCCTCATAAGCGCCTTTGCCCGAATCCGCATCACGTCGTTCTTTTTCTCGTCCATTCTCTGTAACCGTTTGAGCTCCTCCTCCTCTGCCTCTTCGTTTTCACCGGAAATCTCGACCACGGCGTCTGTCTGTTCTGACGATTGAGGGTTTCGTTTAGTTTGTTCTTCACCCAGATTCTGTTGTGGAGACAGCGGGATGATGTTTTCAAGACGATCTAGACAGGCAGTCGCGGATTCGACAGATGCCTTCCAGTCTTCCAGCTTTAGGTAGCATGCGGCCATGTTGCTTCGAAGAACGGCAACTTCATAGTCGAGGTAACTGGGACACGAGGCAAGGGCACGGTCATAGGAGGAAATAGCCTGATCATAGCAGGCAGCAGTAAACAGTTTGTTGGCTTCTGACTTGATCTCGTGGGATTCTTTCAAGAGGCGCTGTTAGGATGGCCGATATGAGCATCAGCAACTGTTTCTTAAGACGGCAATCAAAAACTCACAGCTTCTTCCTCTGCGGGGAACCGTGCATCGTGGAAGACATCCTCGCTCTCGCTATCAGACACAGGTTCGGATTTTTGTGGATTTTTGTTCAAATTTTCTGTAGTCATGCTGCCTCAAGAGCATTAAAGCGAGTGGACGCTCGTGAGAAGGCCGTCGAAGCTTGAGTGGATAGGTTCGGAGTACCTATCGATAATCGGGAAGCCTGTCGGACAACCTGAACGATCCCGACCGTTCCCCCTCGATGATAAAGCGGCATGAAAGAAATTCCCGATTAGGTTACATTCAAGCCGATTGACACAAGAGTGTGGAGTAGTCTTATCTGAGCGTCTTTGAACGACAATTGAAGATCTGATCCTCCTGTCACTCTGCATTATCCCTTTCGTCTGTAATACGACTACTTCACCATGACCAAAAGCGCGTCCGAGTAAGTTCTCAGGTCCAGATTCATTGAATCCCATTCCCTTGGGAGTTCTACCCTGCTGACTGCCCCTCTCTAACAGATTTCCCCGCGTGCGGGCATGCCTCTTCGATATGGATGGATTGCTCATTGACTCAGAGGACAAATACACAGAGATCACGAATGCAATCCTCCAGGAGTTCGGAAAGCCGCTACTTCCTTGGGAAATTAAGGCTCAATTGCAGGGTCGACCACAGCCTGAGGTGAGTACTCCCCGCATCTTCTGTCCACTCAGTCATTGAGACTCGAAGGTCTTGGCTCGATGCTGCGATGTTCTGTCCTAATCATCTATCGTATAGGCAAGCAAGATTTTCCACCACTGGGCTCAACTCCCGATCAGCCCCGAGGAATACGCCGCGAAGCAGGCCGCCCTGCAAGCCAAGTACTTCCCCAAGTCGCAGCCACTGCCAGGCGTCAGAACTCTCCTGTCCAAGCTTCTCTCCACCCAGAAAACCGACCAGCCAGTCTACATCGCCCTGGCAACATCATCGCATAGCAAGAATTTCAAACTGAAGACCGATCATCTGCAGGATCTGTTCTCTGCGTTTCCCGAGTCTCAGCGCGTGCTAGGTGACGATCCTCGAATTGGTAAGGGAAGAGGAAAGCCGCTACCAGATATCTACCTGCTCGCTCTTGAGACGATCAACGAGGGCTTGCGGCAACGAGGAGAACCCGAGATCAGGCCCGAAGAGTGTCTTGTGTTTGAAGATGCGGTTCCTGGTGTCGAGGCGGGACGCCGAGCTGGGATGCGGGTAATCTGGTGTCCTCACCCGGGCCTACTAGGGGCTTACAAGGGCCGAGAAGCAGAGGTACTGGCTGGGCTGACGGGTGAACATAAGGAAGAGGAGAAGTCCGTCCCGGAGAAGGAGGCGGAGGAGTTGGTGGCGTGGAGAATTCAAGGCGCCGGTAGACCTGGCGAGCTTGACGACGGATGGGGTGAGTTGGTGTCGACTTTGGAAGATTTTCCTTACGAGAAGTACGGTATTCATCCTGCGTAGCCTTGTGTATTTTCTCTATTCAAAGTTGTTTTTTCTGTTCCATTCTCATATTGTACATGAAGCGATGTGAATATGTCAAGAGCAAACCAGCATATCAGCAACGATTGATCAATCAAAGGATTATGCAATGATGGGCATAACCCAGTCCAGAGTCATGCATAGCGAAGCCTGCGCATCAATCCAGAAAAAAATCTTGTACCAAGAGTAACAAGAAAAGGCCAATAAACAAACAGGTCATCTCTTAAATGTACAAAGTGTTTGATGGCTGCGTATTGAAACAAACAGCTAGAATCCATAGCGTACTAAGTACGTGGTGCGAAAACAAGAGGGATTCGAACGATCAGACGCAGGTGGAAATGGATGGATATCTTCGCCAACGCCAAGGAGGATATCAAAATGCGGTCATGACAGTGCAGTAACAGTAGGCAACGAGCAAACAGAGGCAACCTCAAACGCCTAAAGCCACAAATGATTCAATGTCATCACGTTCGTTTTCCAGAGGGATCAATTCAGCGGAATGAGATTCTGATGTAGTGCACAAGAGCACAACCAAGGAAACAAGATAGCGTTCGCCTTCAAAGAAGGGTATCACATCCTAAGCTGTGAATAGAATGCTGATGAAGAAACACTGAGCCAGACGCCAGCAAGAGATGCATTGCACAGAAGCAGCCAGTAGATGAAAGAAACAAGGTTCATGAAAGATGATAAAGTGATACTAAATTGATCGCAAGCCCCAAGCGCCTCGCCAGTTTGATGAAAAGCATTGTGGTGCAAATGTAATAGACGATGAACGTGGCTTTAGTACAGTCCAATGCATTGAAGAAGCAAGAATGACTGGAAGCTGCATCATTCTTTTATCTAACGACGTCTCTTGGTAGGAGGGCAGTGTTCATCAGTGCCAGTTTCGGTTGATCCTCGCTTACGGCCGCGCGTTTGGTTGTTTAGCGGCAGACCATGATTCGACCCCATGCTTCTCGAAACGACAGGATTCAGGCCGGCCACTGAACTGGAAGTCGAAGTCGGCTGATGATAAGTTGGCAGTTGAAGGGGGTGTTGAGGCGCTGGTGGCATCTCCATACCCAGGCTTGCTTCCCACAGGTAAGAATCCATTGATGACGTGTGAGAATTTGGAGCGTGAGAATTCGGAGCAGCTGCTGCACTGAGTTCAGGAGATATGCTGAGCTGGTCATATCCGGAGTGTGATCCATAGGGAAGACGAGGGGCGGTCAACGCCTGATCCATGGGGAACATGTTCACTATGTTGTTCATGCTTGGACGAAGTCCACCGGTGTTTGTAGGAGGGAGCTGTCCGGCATTGATTGTGCGTTGAATTTGGCCGCTATTGGACACACCGGGGAAGATGTTGTTGTATCCGGTATAGCACACGCCATGGGACTGTCCTGGATAGGTCATGCGTTGGATGTGTCCGGTATTGGACGCACCTTGGTACTGTCCTGTATAGACTATACCTTGGACGTGTCTGTTATTGTTCATGCCTTGGTTGTGTTCGGTACTGGTCTGGCCTTGCATGGAATAACCCTGCGAGTACTGTCCTCTGTGCGCGTAGCTTGACTGTCTGCGTGCCGCCGAAGCATACGAGGGACCACGCTGACCTGGAATGTCTTGACCCTGGACAGTGACAGTTTCCTGAGAGTCATTTCCGGCCTTCTCGGCTTCCTCGGCTTCCTCGACTTCATGGGCTTCATCAGCAGAATCTCCGCCGACTGGCAGTTCTGCCTCAGCCTCCGCCTCAGCCTTTGCCTTCCCCTTTCCCCTCTCCTTTCCCTTTCCCTTCCCCTCCGCCTTTGCCTTCGCTGCTGCGTCTTTCTTCGCCGCGACGGCCCTTCCGGTCTTGATATGCCCTCCCTTGGTTTGGTTGACAATAACGTTCGCGCGGCACCGGACCAGACAGTCCAGCGGGGCATCCACGAATTCGCGGATGTATTTGGCACCGTAGTCTAGCATCCGCTTGCAGGTGGACTTGCTGACGTGAAAGATCCGGACAATGGCCGCAGCCCTGTCCGGGAAGGAAAGTAGCGCCCCGGTTCTGGCGGGATCTTTCACCTTCTTTTTTTCCTCTTCGTCCTCCTCGTCCTCCTCATTCTCCTTGCGCCCTTTATTGTCCCTTTTCTTCTCCTTTGGAGGAGGCAACGGCATTGTGCGATGATATTCAATCATCGCCTCCTATTCAAGTATCAGTAAAGTGTCGAAAGGCATACTGCCACAGAGACTTACAAGGATATTCCAACAAGCGACCTCGATTTCCACTGGTTTTCTTCGTATAGTGTTCTTCCACACAAGTGTGGTTTTTGCCTTGTCGTCGACGTCCTTGAGGTTCATCATTGCCCGCAGAAAAGAGTTCACAATCGCGACCTTTTGGGCCTGCGAGACTACCAAATGCGGGTCGCGACCGGGTCCTTTGGGAGAATCGAGCGCACTCATCGCCTCTTCCAAGGACGCGAATCTGGTTTGTATTTCGGTGGTTTGTATTTCCGGTCTGCTCCACTCGGGGTTCATGAGATCATGAGAGGTCGGTAATCCGGGTATTGTATTGATTTGCGGAAAAAGTTTGTCGACGACTGTCGGTTTCTTACGTCTGTCAGCAGCTGAATCAGAGGAGGCTTGCTCCGATAAGGCCTGGTGTGCCTCGCTGCTATGATGATCATTGGAAGCGGCTGCGGAGATCACGGACGCATGTGGACTTTGAGGTGCCTGGCCCTGGGCAGGTCTCGCAGAATTAACTGGTCGGGGTTGAATTTGCTGCTGCTCGTTTGAAATGTCCCGCGCAGGATGTTCCTGGCTTTGGTCAACATGATTGGGAGCCGCAGCGGAGCTCAAAGATCGACGTTGCGAATGTTGCACGGCTGGGGGCCGGTGTGCCTGGTTGTTCGTATGATGATCGAGAACAGCCGAACCATTCGACTGTTGGGACTCGTCTTGCATGGAAGAAGTAGTAACACCCTGGCTGCCGGAGGGATACGCCAGCTGTGTCTCCTGGCTGCCAGCAGGGGTTCCGTATGCCTTTTCGGCATTGTGAGCCGGATGAGTGGCCATGTTGGCAGTCTCCGAATTGGGAACAAGGTTCTGAATCGATGCGGTGAGAGCAGGGTCAATAAGGTCCTCAAGATTTGCCTCGGGAGGAGTGCTGTCACCCGAATTCTTTTGGGACGAGGACTGTGCTTCGGACGTTTCATCTTTCTCTCCGGACACGTCTGAATGAATTGGCTCGTTCCTAGCACTATCGATAAATGTCATTAGAAGTCCACCGTGATGTGAAGGATGACGAGAACGAGAACATACTATGTTTGGCCTTGATTGCCATTTCTTCTTCTACCCCCATCCGACTGTTTGGCAAGGGGAGGAGTAGTTTTCTTTGCAGGTTCTTCTACAGCTTGAACGCAGGCTTGGACGACGGAAGTGCCAGCATCGAGGCCTTCGCATGTGTGGCTCTCGGTCATCTCCACGTCGTTATAAGCACCAGATGTGCCACCACTGCAAGCATGGTCTGTGTCCTCGTGGGTTCCGACATTGGAACTGCCAACACCGATAGACTCCACTGAGACATCGTGCTGCTGAACAGAGGGGTCGCCATAACTGGGAATGTCATCCTTCTCTTCGTGGTCTTGAGCATTGGAGCTGCCAACCCCATGACGCGCAGTTCCTTGTTCAATGTGATGGGCTCTGGGTGTGTTGTTGTGATGCTTGATAGGGGATTCCTCAAGAACAGAATTGATACTAGGAGGAATGGGTGACTGGATGATACTTCCCCAGATATCAGCATCGAGTTGACCCTTGTTGCGAGTCTCAACTGCCCTTTCGAAGATTCCAGCGTACTGGGTCTCGTGGCCATGGTCATCAGCTAGACGTTGGATGTCTCCATAGCCACGGGCATTGTGAGTATGGATGAGGTTGCGGCGTTCGAACAAGACATTTGCTCCTTGCTCACGAGGATTTCTGTACGTTTTATCGAATGCCTCCCAGTCAAAGTCGTCAGGAACATGAGTGTGCAGTTTCTCAAATGATATGTCATCTGGATCGAAGAAAGCATTGTCAAAGTGGGATCCTTGCTCCTGCTCACCCTGCAGGGCAGTTTCAGCGTGCTGATGAGAGACTGGCCTAGTGTGACCGGCGTTAAAGGATAGTAAGCATAGACGACTCGCCAAAGACTTACGGAAGACATCCCATAGCCGTAGGAGAGCCTGGCAGAGAGAGCATAGTACTCTGCATCTCGGTACGATGAGCCATAGTCTCAGCAGGAGCGCCAGAAAACTGAGGCGACATCCTCGCGACGATTTACTTGACAGTCAAAACAACACTCCGAAACTCGCTTGAAATTGCAAGATAAACACTTGTTGAAGCTGTATGATTGAAAGATAATGATTGGAAGAGACTGAGTAAGGATAAAAGGATACGATTGGCAGGTTTGAGGGAGTATGAGAGAAGAGAAATGGTTGGTAGAGAGGAAGAGAGATGTGTAGAAGTGAAAGTTGGATTTGACGAGATGAGACTCGAAGGTAGAGGGAGGGAGGTTGGGCCCAGCAAGCATGAGGTGAATAACAGAGCATCAAAAACCTGAAAGTAGACGGGAGATACCGTTAACACAGCGGGATATGCCATGTGCATGGGGCCTGCAAACATAGTAGGGTGGGCCATGGTTCCAAAAGTGGAAATAATGAGGGCAAGTTTGCAAGATTGCTACTCGAACATGACCCAGTTCAATGGGACACAATAGGTCTTCGAAGCATCTCGAAGCAAAGCCATGCACATCAACAAGCGAGACAATTGATTCCATGGTGGTATTGGCAATGAAGTGTTGATGGCGGTCTAATTGTGCGTCTGATTGAGGCTCTGGAGACAATAGGTCATTGAGGTGCTGCGTTGCGCAACAACGATATTGTTGAGACGCTCATGCACTGGGCAGAGGATTGCGCTCCTTGAGGACCCGACCAGAAGCAGTGTACAATAGCTGGTGAGACCCCATCAAATTCAGGCGCAATGACAGCCTCTCAACCGGGCTATTGAGCTGTTTAGCAACCTTGAGTTCCTCTATCATTTTGCAAGCAGATCCACGTACCAGTAGCATATTACTGCGCACTCTTACTCGACTGACGAACACAACCAGGCTCAAAGCTTGACCTTGAACTCTCATTCCTTGGAACACCACTAAGGTCAATCATTCAACTGACAGTGGTATCTAGGAATGGCATCGACCAGACTTTCAGGCTATTATCGACCTTCTTCGTAGAAGGAACCGTCTCGTCCACAGCACTTATATCACGTGAGAAGCGCCTCTGACCAGAAGTCGTTGCTGCTATGGTTCCCATGGGATGCAAAACAGTACTGCTCACCGCGTCTGCATGCCTTATTGTAAGCTCCTTGGACTCTCAATCAACTCGTGTTCATAGCTTACCATCATGAACCTTCCATTCCCAGTCACATTTTTGCGGTCCGACAGTGTGTGTAGGATTTCGCCATACCCTCATATATCCATCAGTCCCTCCAGCCCAGATCTCATGGGACTCGCCCTGTGCGACAGGTACAACATCGATCTTCATGCGTTGATTTGTGACGGCCCTTCTACCTTCTAGCCAGCCAAGAAGCTGCCCGGTGACTCTGATGTCGAATATTAAGACTCCGTCGCTTTTCCGTTCGGCAATATACAAATATCTTCCGCAGGGACTCCAAAGCAGTTGCGTGACGCCCGCGCCGCCAATGTGGCGATGAGCGTCCGTCTTTGTAATGCTAAAGGTCCCGAGAGACTCTCCAGTCCCATTCGCCCCATACAGACCTATCTGCCTCGAAAATGTACCCGCAGCCAAGATACCATCTCCCACAGGATTGATGGCCATGGCCGAGATGATACCCTTCATCCCGACTCCTCCACCTACCATTTGCTTACGCTTACTGGGTATTGTAGGCATCCATGCGACGGGGCCCTCGCTCCCAGGACGAGATACGTCGAAAAGACATATCAGGCTATCGGATCCAGTGAGAAAGTGCGTACCGCCCAGCGCATGCGGATACACCATTGAGTGAGGCGTAATGAATGCCTCGGTCGTCGGATGTATGAGCGAGTAAGTTGCCACAGTGGTGGGCACAAGCGCAGACGCGAGTCTAATTGGGTGATCACGGACTGATGAGAGAAACAGAGTGGTAGATGTATCCCGAAGATTGAAGAAAGGATAGATGGCAGTGGCGTACGTTGGCTCTGCTGAAGGCAGAACAGAGTAAGGGTCCAGCCGATGCGGCGATGATGTCCCTTCCAGCAAATCCGGAGGCCTATTTCTGCTCGTTAGTCCAGAAACGTCTCAGCCCTTTCAGCATGACCTACAGAATATAGGTTCTGATATGATGGTCTGCAGAATCAGTCAAAAGTGTGGTACCATCCGGAGACCTATGCAAGCAATTGTTAGCCACGGTTTCATTAATCGTGCATTCAATTAGGTCGGTTCCGAAAACCTACCATTCCGCGCCTTTCACGTAATTTAGAGGTGGATTTATTCTACTGCTCTCCTCTGTTGACATAAAGGAGAGGTCCCGACTTCGTTTGAGAGATGGCTGGACATTGACTCCGATATCCTGTGCATCGTCCACTTGAGTTGATGCCACGCATATTGGGCTTTGAACCAAAGAGTTGTTCTCAACCATCTTGCATAGGAAACTTTCAATGTCCACTATATTAAGAGGAGCAGGACTCTGATATATGACATTCGAAAGACAGTTCGGCACCATGCAAGAACAAAGGAGAGTTGCAGAAACTTTTCCTCCACGCTTTTCATCGCATCACTTCTAAGAACTCTGGTGACCGTGAGGGAACTATTCACCTTCCTGCAATCACACTGCGCTTCATATAGTGAACTAGACGGAAGTGGATGGATGTCTCGGCGGCAAGTGCAAATGACAAACAGCCGAGCATCACAGTGAGTACAATGGGCAATCAATGAAGCCAACTGGCGAATCTCCTAAGCTACAGAATGTTCGGTTTGAATAGGGATAGATCCATATATGTCAGTGTTGTGACACCGATTTAGATAGACGTAACTCGAATGGCAATGAGGTCGATTCGTGAGGATCCCCGTATGCGATTCTATGTGTTCTGCAGATGCCGGGTGCGATTTCCTGTCTACCTTAGCGAGGTACAGGCTTACAGCGGCGGAGGAAGTTGGAACGTCGGCCCCGGTGTATCTTTCCCCATTAATATTAACATCAATTTCCCACTAGTCCACTCCGGGTGTAGGTGCCCAGCTACCTTCCTTACCTTAGTAACGCTGATATCTGCAACAGCGCTGCGCTTGCAGTTATCTGCCCAAACATTTTTGCGCCTCTTGCCCCTACACTACCTCGACATCCATACAGCTGAAAGAAAGAGCGGTAGGGGAGGTGCGAGTTGATTTTATCGAATCCCGTCCTTTACTCCCTGATTTAAGCCGACTCCTTTCCATCATGTTTTCCGCAAAACCTTCAACCGGCCTGTCCATAAACACCAATTCCGCCAATTCACTTTTGTAAGTGCGCCTGTGTCCAGAGCTCGGTCTGGAACTTCAGCTCTAAGATCGGAGCCACAAATTCATGAATCGCGCGATTCAATTAGGCTAACGACTTTCCCTCGCGTAGTGGCGGATCTAATGCTCAAACTACATCGTCTACAGCTGCACCAGGGACAACGAGCACCGCGGGTGGTTTGTTTGGAAACTTGGGAGGCGCCAATGCGCAGTCAAAGCCAGCGGGCGGCCTTTTTGGAAACCTTGGGGGCGGGAGCACGCAACAATCTTCAACTACTGGGTCAAGTCTGTTCTCCGGCTTAGGTGGACAACAGCAAAATCCTACTAATACCACTGCTGCTGGCGGCGGTCTGTTTGGAGGCTCTACCCCGGCCAGCTCGCAACCTGCAACTGGTGGACTCTTTTCGGGGACTGCAGGCACGGGCACTACCACGGCCCAAGGTGGAGGTACTGGTGGAGGGTTGTTTGGGTCCACGACACAGGCTCAGTCAAAACCGCTATTTGGCGGTCTGGGGTCTTCTACAACAACTGGGGGTGGCCTCTTGTGAGTGATCCGCACTGGCCCTCTTTGTTTCATCGACTAATCAATGAGAAATTCTAGTGGTGGCGGCAACCTTACCAACACACAACAGCAGCAACAAGCACAGAAACCCACGCTATCTCTCTTTGGGAACCAAAATGCCGCGCCCCAACTGTCGACTCAGCAAACAGCCACAACTGGAACAGTGGTTCCCGGGGTCAAGGTAGATCTCAGTAATCTCTTACCGACGACAAAATACGAGAGTTGCGCCGATGAAATTAGGTTGGAGTTGGAGAAATTCGACAATTACGTCCTCCTTCAAATCAAGCTGTGTAACGAGGTCTCCAACATGCTTCCTACAATCGCGGGCCAGGCCGAGACTATTCCAAATGATGTGGATTTCGTTCAAGGCAAACTGGAAACCATTGAGCATGCGCTGGAGAACGACGCTCGCGATATTGATCAACTACGCAGCCTGGTGTCTCGCGATGCAGCCGAGGCACAAGTGGCGTTCCGTGCCATCGATACATTAAAATTACCCCTGCAATATCAATCTGCAGGAGGCACAGGGTGGTGGTCAGCCCAGGATCAAAAGGGGTCCGATCGCCAGGCGTTGCGATCCACGCGCAAGAATACTCTCGCTCTTCCGGATGACGTCGAGACTGACCCGTCGTCTGCCACTTCCATCAGTGGTGTGCCAGTAAACCTTGTCGACTATTTCTCTCAGCGCTCTGATGAGATGGGTACGGTTCTCGAACGATATACCGGCAATTTGAAAGAGATTGAAGACCACCTCCATGGTATCGAGCTTTCACTAAACCGCCAGATTCAAGAATTTGTGGCTTCACGAAGTCGAGATGGAGCGGCCGCTGGTACCCAGAAATCGAAGCTCAATGATCTTGCAGCAGTGCTTGGAGATGTGGAGAACGGTATACTTGGCGTTGCCAGTAGGCTCGGTGCGGTCACAGAACAAGTGCAGGAAGTGGTATTGGGTCCGCCGTCGGGAGATGGTAGGCTTAATTAATGATAAGACTCGAGCGGCATGCATAATGCGGTGAGATGCGCATTAAAGTGGCGTCAAGCATCTTGGGTCATTTCAGGAACCTCAGTTTCTATCACTACTTAAGAGAAGTCTTGTATTTCAGCATGAGTATTAGGGCCAGGCGTTACAAATGAGAGATGACAGTATTGTGCTCTTTTCGATAAACATTGATATTTAAAAATATACGTGTTTGTCTGATCAGCAACATGTCCTTCCT